TAACTATTTCTTAGAGTTTCGGTTTTCAAATCCAATGTGCAACTAAAAGTACATTAGCTAAATGATTTTTTTCCCCCATGTTCTATCCCTATGGAATTTGATTCAGAAGCTTAAGGGTAGGTTACAAGAATGCCTTTGACCCTCTACAGTGCAACAGTGATATATCCATAGCTATGTTTGGGGAAGACCTAATCTAGTGCCTTTTAGTTTTGACATCTTATTACCTTGTAATTGTAGAACAAGCTCACCTTAGAAAACATAGCAGAAAGTAGTTGTATTCAGGTACTCTGTTCATTTAAAGTTAGGAAATATTTTATTACTTAGGTAAAGAACATGGGGCCTAATGGAAAAGATGATGTTAAAATTGATGATTAAGATTGGATAGAGAGATGGGTAAGTGAATGTTTGCTTGGTATTTAATGTAACATAGTTATTGGCCAGAATATACAGGGCTGCAGGAGGAAAATGACCTGTTTTGGTGCAATGGACCATAGTTATAGTTTTCTTTTTTGCTCTCAAAGTTGTTTTTCTTTTGTAGATGAAATATTTTATTGCTTCAGTTTGCTTGCTGGAAATGTAGCTTGTGGTCAGGTGGTGAGAGGCATCATGAGGCTGTTTGTGTAAAATAAAAGAGCACAACCTTCCTCAAGTCTCTAGGGGCTGTGCCCTTTGTGATCCACTTAGGTTAGTCCCCATTGGACTTCTGGTTAGATACAAAGACTATCATGACCACTATGTTATTTAAAATAATAGATTTACTGCAGAATTATTATTATTAAACCAAAGTTGGCTTTTTTGTTTAGATGAAGCCATATAAAAGCAACATTCTGAGTAAATTATATAGCGTCCACTTGATGAAATAATGAGCCTAAGTTTAGGGGATGAAAGTAATGATCTAATGCAATATTTAGAATGAGTGTTTAGTATGTAGTTATTAACCTAAAAGTCACATCCTGCATTCTTTTAATTTGTGAAAAATTTGTCACTAATTGCCCAAGAAACCTCTGATTTTTCATACAAAATCACCTCATAGCTGTTGACTTTCTCCCCCTTCCCCTGCCTTAAAATACAGCCCTATAAACAGCAGATTACTCTCAGATCTGTATGCCCTCTTTAAGTATTGAACTGCTAAGTTTAGCCCCATTGCTCTCTTTTCAAAAATAGAATTCTTCCCCTATCCAACTTTGTCTTTGAGAAGTTACTAACAAATCATGGTTTTATTTTAATGACAACTGGTATAAAATCTTATTTAACCTTTCTGTCCTTTGAGAATCTGCTAATTCTGAAACACATTGAGGATTAATTACTGATATATAAAGAAAATGGATAGTATCTTCTATTTAGAAGCAATTTGAGAGATAAATTCTGGTATTTAATTCAAATTCACTCTAATTAAGGCAGAGTCAGGCAAACAGAAGTAAAAAATTGAAAGGGCTAGGCAGGTCAATCTCTGTGAGTTCCAGGCTAGCCTGGTCTTCTTACTGAATTTCAAGACATCAAGGGCTATGTAGAGAGACCCTAACTCACAACACACACACACACACACACACACACACACACACACACACACACACACACACACACAAAATTGAAAGAGAAAAATAAGGTAGATAAGAAATAAGGTAGCCAGGTTGATATTCAGCCTTGGGTCTAGCCCTTACTTATCTCATTTCAGGGTTTGCAGTTTTGCTTGTGATCATCTCCCAATCTACTGCTTCATGCATCTTTTCTGATTTTAAAGAATATATGTAATACAAATATAGTGATTAATTTCTTGCAATATTTATCTTTATGAATTTGAATTCTTGTCTTGTAGTATCATCAGTGTCTTAGAAAGTGACTTTGACTGGGATTTCTTTGAAAGAAAAAATACATAGGACCACAAAAGATATATGTGAAAGAAGTATCTGTCTTACAGAATTCAGACTTCAGAAAATGTCTCCAAAATTCAGCAAGAGGCATCACGAGAAAATGGCTATAATTGCATCCCTTTTGTCTTATTATTTGACAGCTTAAAGGAATAGTAGGGTTAGAAGTACAGATGTTAATTGAAAACTTTGAGATCATTTACTATTTTGTAAATTGTGTTCATACTCTCTGTGGTTAGTTACACAATATGCTTCATTTCAAGCACTTGGGATATTATCTGCCTATATATTAGGATTTCAAATATTTTATTTGATTTTGAAGTACTTTAAAACCTGAAAGTTTGGCTAAAATGAGCATAACTTTATAGAGAAAGTGTTTGGGGGTCAAAGAGGTTAAATTAGATGCCAACAGTCATGTACCCACTTGGAAGTTGGCAAAACTTAGAAACCATGAATCTGGAATTCCCTTCCAGGGCATTTTCACTACAAAATGTTCTTTTGATTTTGCATTTTGAAAGACACAGAAGTGGTCTGTGAAATGATCATTAGCACTAGGCAGCCCAAGCAGCCCTGGAGTGTTTTCATGGTTCAAATGCCCAAGACCAGATGGAAGTCCAGAAGTGGATGACTCAGAATTTATTAGTTTCGCCACCTGGGTAGTACAGCCAAACCAGCTGCCACAAGGCAGTTTCAATTTCAGCAGAGCAGTAAATGAACAAAAAAAAAAAAGAAAGTCATTCTCTATAATAAAGGAAAATGGCTGATACAGCAGCAAGATTCACTCAGCATGATTCCCATTGACATCTCTTGTAGGAAGTACAGTTCTTATTCCAGGCACTGGGCAAGAAATGGTTAAGGCACCTTGCCATGAAAAATCAATACCTGAGTTGTTCCAGAAGCTACTGTCAGTTTGGGGTGTGTTTGAATTACAGGCTTGGTAGGTTCCTAGTTACAACTGATGATCTGGAAAAGGAAAATTAAGCAAGTGCTATAGCAAAGCTGTGTCATGAAGCCAGATGGTTTTTTTCCTGTAATTATAAAATATCATTTATCACCCTTTCATAGTCCTGATCTTTGGAGGCCTGCATATTCAGGGATCCTAAGATCCCTGTGGATGGTCACAGAAATTCTTCCATTATCCTTATGTGGACCTGAAAGTTTCCAGGTGTGCCTATGATCCCAGTATACAGCAGGATGAGGAAGGAGAATTGCTGCAAGTTTGAAGCTAGCCTGGCCTATAAAGTTTGTTCCTGGGTAGCCTGATTATAGACTGAGGCTCTGCCTCAACTCTCAGACCACCAACAAGCCAACTGAACCCAAAATATGAGGTTTTTCAGGATCTGTTCACAGAACACTAAGATTCGGAGAATGAAGTTGAGGTTTCAGATGACTCCTAAATAGATCTATGGTGCTCAAAAACAAAATAAGCCTAATAATGAAAGCATGGGGAATCAGACCAAATTGAGAGAGGTATAGTAATTTTTGCTTAAATTACTTACTTTTATTTTATTTTTAACTTTCTTTTTATTTATTCTTTGTGTCTTTCACATCATGCATCTCAATCTCATTCATTTCCTGTCCCTGCATATCTGCCCTCTGTCCTTGCAGCCCCCTCTCCCAGATAAAATTTAAGAGAGAAAAGAAAAAAGGAAAAAAAAAAAGGGCGGGATGTGATGTCATCATGGAAGTTGTAGTGTGACATAATGGGTCACTCAATAAACCCTTTTGTCCACATATCTTTACTTGTAAGTGTTCATTGCAAAGAGTCATTGGTCTGGTTTGAGGCCTCTGGTTTCTGTTATACTATTAATGCTGGGCCCTCACTGGGACTCCTCTTGGTTATCCTGCTGTTGCCCTATGTTGTAGAAATCTTACAGCTTTGGGTCTTCAGGATCCAGTCCCTTCAGGTGCTCAAACAGATCACAGATAGTGTGGATATTGGTATGCGACAACTCATAACCCTGGTTCTGGGCCTGGGTAGTTGCAGGATTGGTCAGCCTGCCAGCTTGTCCTCATCATCAGAGTAAGCTCTCCTGCATTGCCTTGGTGAGTTCACCCTTTGCAGCAGTGAGCAAAGGGTGGGGCCAGTTCTCCTGTTTCATGTCCTCAGAATCAGATCTCCCACATCTACACCTTCAGGGCCAGCTATACTGTGTTGCCCAGGCATGGTGTAGGGCCACTCTCCCGGATGCTGCAGCAGATGAGGGGCAGGGCTAGCTTCCCTTCCCCCTTGACCTCAGGGCCAGCTTTCCCACCTGCCTCAGGCATTGATGGGCAGGGGTGGGGTGGGGTGGGGGGCATCTCTCTCCTGCTCTTGTCACCTCATGACAGGTGAATAATAGGGACAGCTCTTCCATGCTCACAATATTGGGGCTGGCTTGCCCACACCTCTGCCAATGGAGTTGGATCTATTGTGCTGCCCCTGCAAGGTACAGGGCCTGCTCTTCCAAGTATTGCTGATAGTGGTGGGCAGGGGCAGCTCTCCTGCCCTTCTGACTTCAGGGCCAGCTCTCCCACCTGACTCAGGCATTGATGGATGCGAAGGGGTGGGAAGAAAGGTTTATTAATGAATTAAAAAAATCTCATTTTCCTATGTCAAAAATGCTTGGGCATTTTTTTCCCAAAATGCAACTAATCTGGCTAAATAAATAGAAGCTTGGCATGATTTCTCTTTATATGTTGAAAAGCTCAGAAGACTGTAGCTCCTTGCTTTGGTTCCCTGGCCTTAGTGATGATGCAGGCTTTTTGGTGTTATGACGAAAAGAACAAGGGCGTAGCCAGAGAAGGGAGGTTCATATGCTAGTTGCTGACATATCTTCTTGTGGCTTTTTTGTTTGTTTGTTTGTTTTTTGCCCATGGCTAGATCAAGGTGCTGTTGGCTTGACTGACATCTGCCTACAGATGGCCTTTTCAGGAGATGAAATTTTCTGTGTTTATATTTCTAAACTGATCATTATTTAGTCATGTAATAATGTTCTCTATTTGTATGAAGAGAATACAGACATGTATATGTTCTCACTGAATTTGTCTTTTCCCCTCTATGATGACAAGAAGTGAAATGGGTTTATACTATAACATTTTGTTAATGATTACAGGTAAATTAACTTTTTCTTTCTATTTTTATTCTGGCAGGTGGCATGTTTGACCCAAGTAGCTGCTAATTATCTTATTGGTCAAAAGGAAGCAAAACGCTGGGGCACAGCTCATGGCAGCATTGTTCCTTATCAGGTACAATTTAACCTTCATTACTGTAATCTGCAGATCTGTACAACAGGACTCTGGGAATTAATTTTTTTTTACAACCCCTCCAGCATGGTTCTGTAATGTGTCTATGACTTATTATAGCAAGGTTCAGTTGTTCTCCTTAATTTTTTTCATATTTCTTCACAAGAAGATTTGTAACAGAACACTTAAGTGGATCGAAGGAACTTATAGAAAAGGAATTACTTTGGAGCTTGTAATATGATGGTTTCTTCATTTCTTTCTTTTTATTTTTCTTTCACCCAAAAGCTTCTGTTATGCCATTGACTGTAGCTACTTTATAAAGCATTGTGAATTATCATGCTAGCTATAAAACAAATGTTACCTTCCTTCTCCATCTGACAATAATATTCTCACAGGGTTAGGGTGAAGTGAAAATTTGCGTGTGATGGATCTCCATCCTTGGAGAAAAACAGATGGTTTGAGCTGCTGTTCTTTATTAAGTGTCTAAACCTCAGAAATTCTGGACTTTGGCTAGTGCAAATGAATATGTGAAGAAACTGTGATTCTTTAGAAATAAAAGCTCTACTATGTCTTCCAAGCCACTAGCCTTAGCTTAGCCTAGTTGCATATTTCTTTGCATTTCCTTTCATTTGTCAAACTTTCCGTAATACATCATGAATTTAAGAGGAAGGGGGTCTTTCTCATCATTTCTCTCATATTCAATAGAAATGTAGGCAGTGTACCCTAGAAGTATCTGCTTAATAAAGGAATGGATTTAGCTCTAGCTATTTCAACATGTGTATTCTTGACAAGAAACAAAAAACTTGGAATTTTTTTGTTTGCTAGGAAATCCATCAGTACTTCCAGTTGTCCTTTCAATGTTAAGAGATTATTTCCTTGGGCAGGTTTAGTTTTATTTCCATTACTTTTAAACCCATATTTGAGGAAAGTATAATCCACTGTGAGCCCAGCATGCTTCCCTCTCTTGTTCTGTTTATGACCATTTTATACCTGAGACTTTGCTATGATTTCTTGGTATAGCTGCTTTTCTCAAGTTGAGTTACCTTCTGGGATAATTATAAGTTTGGAGGATTTCTTCAGTGCCTCCTTTTTTGTCCCCACTAATGATTCTTGACCACCTTAGCGACATTTGCTTCCCCAACTAAGATTTTCTTGTGGCTGGCTCTAAACATCTAACTAGACCTTCCTACTTTGATTCATAAAAGTCATTGTATTTTTGAGCTGGGTAGAAATACTTAGATTCAGCCTTCTTATTTTCCAGATTTAAAAAAAAAAATCTCACACATAGTTTGAATGGGGAGTTTCCAATAGTGGCCTCTTGGTTCTGTGTTTAGACATTTTCCATTATTCTACCAATGATAGGAGTGTGCTGTGGTTTCAGGTCCCTTCAACTCTTTTCACTATTTCTTCCCATCCAGTTTGCTCCTAGATCAGGTGTATGGTTAAGTGATTCATAATTATAATTGATGAGGAAAATTCTCAAGGGTTTTTTTTTTTTTTTTTTAGCAAAGCACAATGTTAGAATTTATGTGAATTCATCTCAAATAATGGAAATCCAGGCTTCATCCTTTGATGTATATGGAGAAAGCAGCATTTCTGAGTTGGAAAGCTTTGTAGGATAATTCTAAGTCACATTACAAACTATAAAAGTTTCTTTTTTTGATAAAACTAGAATATCCATTTTAAAAACTTGCTATAGACCTTAACTATCTCTCCTAGGCATCCATACCTAGAATTCCGGCATCCTGAATAAGCTCTTAATTGTTTTACTGTGAGGGACAAAGGAATTCAGAATTTTTGGCCCTTGTTTTAGAAGGTTAAGTGTTTAAAAGACACTCTCTCTCTCTCTCTCTCTCTCTCTCTCTCTCTCTCTCTCTCTCTCTCTCTCTCTCTCTCTGTGTGTGTGTGATTTTCTTCAAGGATAGAGAAGTACTTTGTGGTTCAGTCATCTCAGCCATATTAAACGGATAGAAGGCTTACTTGATCACAGTTGATGGTAAGAAATGAGATCGACTTTGGTCTTTCCTTAGGAGCATAGAATTAATCTGTTTCCTCTTTGTAGAGAACTGGTTCAGCACAGTGATTAAAGATTAAATGCAAATTGAATGAAACTAATATAGCAAGATGGGTCCTAGATATTCTTCAAGATTCTTGTCTGTTCACAATTTTTGAATAGACCCAAAGAATATTTCATGAGTGAATTCCAAGGTAATTATAATTAACTTTCCTATGATAATTACAGTTTTGCTTTTAATTTGCTTCTTATTGTCTGAGTTTTTAGCCCAGTGTCTATAATAAAGATCCTGATAGTTTTGGGAGGTTGTTAAGGTTCACAGCTTGCTTTCATTCCATTGTTGAACTCCATTTAGATAATCAGAGACCTTGAACACACAGAATATATATTTTTGAGAAACAGTGATTCCTCATTATATGTTGTTTTAGAAACATGTAGTTCTTAACTACTCATATCATTTATCCATTGATGTACTTTGCTTCTTAATTCTTTGACTGCTGACTTTTATTTTTTATGTGTTTTTGAGACAGGGTCTTGCTATGTAGCCCAGTCAGGCCTTGAACTTTTGATCTTCTTATCTTAGCCTTCTGCATAATAGGATTCAGGTATGTGTCATTATATTCAGTTTGTTGGCAATTTTTTTTTTTTTTTTTTTTTTTTTTTTTTTTTTTTTTTTTTGGTTTTTCGAGACAGGGTTTCTCTGTGTAGCTTTGCGCCTCTCCTGGAACTCACTTGGTAGCCCAGGCTGGCCTCGAACTCACAGAGATCCGCCTGGCTCTGCCTCCCGAGTGCTGGGATTAAAGGCGTGCGCCACCACCGCCTGGCCTGTTGGCAAATTTTTAAAACTCAACAAGTTAAATAAAAGTAGAAACTATAGAAAGATTTTTTGCTGTTTCTGTTAAGAAATATGAAGTTATAAAATTTATAAGTAAATGACTAGAACTAGAAAAAAACCATCCAGACTTCTGTAACCTAGACTGAGAACGACAAACACTCGATATGATTTTTTTCTCATATGTGAGTGTTAGCTTTTAAGTTTTGTGTATGTGTGTTTCATTTATTATAAACATAGAGGTTAAGTCACTAGTAAGGACTAGTAATGGACCATTGAGGAGGAAGGGATATTTCAAGGAAGGGAAAATAGAATATAAGGTTATAATGGAAAAGGTGGGGAGTAGAACAGGAAGGGTTAAATGGATTGTGGAATGAGAGGAAAGGGTAGAGGAAGGAATACTGGGAACAATACCTACCACTAAAGGCCTTTTGAAAAACCATATGTAAACTAATACTGTAGAGTTTCCTAACACACATACATAGAGAGAGGGAGAGAGGGAGAAAGGGAGAGAGGGAGAGAGAGAGGGAGAAAAGGAGATAGGGAGGGGAGAGAGAGAGAGCGAGAGGGAGAGAGAGAGAAAATATTTAGAGTTACCTCCTAAAGGAAGGCAATACCCCAAGTACACAACGTATGTTACCAAATAAAACCCATATGGGTTACTTCTTTTTGAGTTGTTGGTTCAGTCATATAGACTGAACGTGACAGGGTATTGCCAATTCTGTTGTTTACCCACCACAACTTTAAAATCCTGTAACAGAAGTCATTACATATTTGAGTCAAAGAACCATAGCTGGAGAAAAATCTAGCTGGTACTCAACTGGAAGCTTTAAACTTATTGGCTAGCATTCATACTGCAGGAAGGTGCTGTGTACGCTACCAAAAGAGAAAAGTAAACATTGGTTTCACCCAGCTCTGAATCCTGTGAGCTACAATAATAACATGGTGACAAGATATACCCACCTGTGCAATAGTGGCACAAATGTTTGGGAGTAACCAAATAACATTTTCCATTAGATTTAAGTAGCGTTCCATGAGATGGAACCCATAACTGACATTGTTAATGAGGTCAAGAACCTGTAGCTAGATAAGTGATGGGCCCTAGGGGAAATTTTATTGCTATTTTCTGTATGGACTTGGCAATAAAACAATCCTGATATCTTATTGCTATGCCCATAAATTGGTGCATCACTCAACTCTCATCAGAGGAGCTTCTTTATGAAGTATGTGGTAATTAACACAGAGATCTGCAACTGGTCCGTGTGCAGAGAATAAGAGACACTGGAATATTTAGCCCTAAAAGAGACGTCCATACTTAGCCCTAAAAGGGTGAGAAGATTGTAAGAGTCAGAGGTGGTAGATGACTTCCAGGAAACAAACAATGTTTTCTGGACATAATAAGGCAGATGCACATATGAACCCATGGTGGTTATGACAGCATGCACAAGGTCTCCAAGCTCCGACCAGACAAAGTCCAAGCATGGAGGTATTTATTCCTCCTTCTTCACTCTCTTTATTATCCTTCCTCTCCCTTCTCCATTTAAGTCTCTCAATTTTTTTCTTTTAATCCCTTCATAACATTGCTATTTCCTTTCCAGAACTCTTCTCATCTCCTTTGATGGTCCCTTTCTACTTTTCTGGCTTCTATGGTTGTTCCAGGTCATATATTCAAGCCTACAGATTTGGATCTAGGACCCACAATAAGTGAGATCATGCAGTGTTCGTTTTTTTCTGGGCCTGAGTTAATTTACTCAGCACAATATTTTCCAGTTATATTAATTTTCCTGCAAATTCCATGATTTCATTTTTTTTACAGCTGAATAGAATTGCATTTTGTATTTGTACCATATTTCATCACCATCTCATTGCTAGATGGCCATCTAGGCTTCTTCTCATCCTTTTAATTTTAATATTGTAGCCTGAGTTTATTTAAAACTCCCTTACATTTTTCAATTTCCTAAAAGTCTACCATTTGTATGTCCTATGCTTGTGATCCTGACATCCAATTCTTTCCACATCATCAAAGATCTATTCACAAGTACTTATAAGGATAGAAAATTATAGTGAGTGTACCAAAGAAAAACAATTTATTTTTTACTGTTGAAGTTTAGCCAATCTTAGAACAGAAGTACGCACATTTCTAACTATGTCTTTTGT